CAGGGGTCTCCTCCCCCGCGCCCCCGTGTCCTCTGCCGTGACAATGGGGGCCTTTAGCAGAGACTACTGGAGGAGACATTGAGGAGCCATTGACTCCAACAAAACCCCGAGTCAGCGCCGACTTTCTGGCCGGGAGCAGAGAGCGCTCGGCAACATTTACAACCCACGCGCTCGCACATGCACGCGTCGTGCAGATGCAGTACAAAACAAAAGACAAAGAAGATTCCCCCCTATGTAGCCTTGAGAAATTGTCGGGGCAAGTACCGTTAGCGAGCACCTATAAAGGCCTGGCACAGCAGAAGAGGGGATCGGTGACCAGCACCACGCCTGGCCGTCTGTCTCTCCAGTGGTGATGTTTACACCAGGTTCACATTTGAGGCTGAGTTGACATAGGAGAAGCCACGGACCGATTCAGATAATAGTCGCCGGTGTTGGTGGCCGTGAGAGGGAATCGAACTCGGGTCGATGGGTTCATAGCGCAGCGGCGCTAACCGCTACACAACCGCTCCCCAAACACACACACAATGCTCATTGTATCAGGGTCCCCTGATACAATGAGCATTGAGAAGCTGTGCTCATCTCTCTCCTGTTTTTAGCGCTGAGCCAGTGGTGGAAATTCCACATTCTTTATGGCCTTTCCATGAAACAATCGCTGTCTCTTTTCCCGCACAAGTGGCGATCGAGCCCAGGGGGACGATGTTGGGTTTAGTCAACCCCCCCAACGAGGAAGTGAACTGGCGACCTCTCGATCGCTGCTCCGCCGCTCGTTGGTCCACCACCATGCTTCCACCGCGCCGGGTTCACCGACTCGTTTAGGGTCAGGGTGCACAAACGTTGTATCTGGTCCAAGCCAAAATACACGTCGGCGTCTATGTCCGGTAAGTCCTCTCGAGCCTCTCTAGTCCATGAATATTATTCTAAAATACTAATAATGACCTCAACTTGTACTGCTGTGCCGCCACCACCAGCACACGGTGGACGCTTCTCACTCTCGACTAGAGAGAGAGAGGTGGGGACTCAGAGGCACCAGGAGGAGGAACCACAGACGAGGAATGGCAAGGTAGCAGCAACAGCCATGCAGTGAGCCAGCGGCAACAACTGCCCAAGTTCAGCAATCCTATACAGTAGACTCTGGATTATCTGCACACAGTTTATCCGATTTGCAGATTAACCGTGCACCTGAGATTTTGAAGCACATTCATAACTCATGGATTTTCCTTGAAGCCCAAATAATTCATCTAGCAACAGTTATTCAACATGGTTATTCTTGTAAATGTTCATTATAAGTCACACGGTGCTTAAACCGAGCAAATATGTTGCTCCGGTTAATCCGAAATTCACGTGATCGCCTCTACAGTGCAATATAGGCGATTGTTTACTACAAATTTTTGTTTTGTTCATTAACAAACTAAGTTTTCCCTACTTAAACATAATGTATACCTATATGAGTGTTTTTTGGCATATAGATCCCCGGAAAATAGATATTTTATTTATTTATCCCCAATGTTTTTTTTATTATCCGCACAGATAATCAAGATTCCACTGTATATATACGTAAAGGTGTTATCGGCCATTTAATGGGTTTACTTGTGAGAGGAACCCGGAGTATTCGGAGAAAATCCATGAGTTCGAGGGGACAACGCTCTATCCCTTACGAGCGCAAGAGGTTGAGTCCACATTTTGCCGCCTTCTCCGAGCAAGCCACGGTTACTTCTACTTCTTTGGCACACCACGGGAAGGGCGTTTCACAACGCTTATGTGATACACCAACCCCGCACCTCCGATTAGCACGGTTGGCTACGTACGGTGCGAAAGAAGTTCAACATACACACACACGTACATACCCTCGCCTCCACCGTGCTGGATTACTGGGTGTAACCACCACTGCCCGGCTCCGAGTTCACTGATAAACGCCCCCAAGGTCCCGCACTCTTCTACCAACGGGCATTTAACCTGTCCTAACCAAAACCAACTACGCCCAGCGCTGCACACCACGTGAAGTGTAAGGGATTTCAGCAGGGCCTGTGGATACCATCAAGAGGCCAGGGCTCTAGGTTATTCTTAGAGCTTTCGGGGGTCCCTGACTATCTACTCACAATCATTAAGGGCCTTTTTGCTGGTGGTGGGCAAGCCCGGGTAAAGCAGAGCCATTCCCTGTTCAACTTTGGGGTACGACAGGGGTGTCCTGTGGCTCCTATCTGATTTTTATATCTTCTTTGACCGCGTAGTTTTGAGAAGCTTTCCATGGCTGCACCGGAGGCGTTTTCCTTATATTACACATGAGATGGTGTTGTGTTGAGCGATATCTAGTGACGGTGAGTATGCAAGCATTGTACTAGAATTGTTGAACCCCTTGTTTGTATTTATTTTCACTTGAACAGACTCCACTTCTTTCGTTGTACTCTTCATTGTTAGAGACAGGTATTAAGCAAGCACAGACGAAAGGAGGGAATGATTGTGGCCAAAAAAGCTTCGTGTGGAGCAAAAGGCCAGGCAGCTTCCACACGGTGTTACGCAGCCAATGAAAATATAATGTCGCTCGACTGATTCGGAGGCCTCTGCTGCCAAAAGCGAAGCTGGTCATGACCACAGTACCCAGGTACAAAAACTTCTCCACTCTTTCCATTACTCAGGGGGAGTGGCGGCAGGGGGGTATTTGGTTACATAAAATGCCCAGGCAGGTGCATCGATTTTGTGCGGCTGATGGTAAGGCCCCATCTCTTAGTAGCACGCTCCAGGTTCAGCAACAGAGTTTCCAGCTACTTCTCACAGTGGGCAGCAATTACCACATCATCAGCATACATAGCATGGTTGACCAATAGAGGGGCATACGATGGTTGCACCCAGGTATCGATCGGCCTCCCATTGTATCTATACAAGATGGAAATTCCTCTGGTACAGCTGTAGAAAGCATCTCAAACTAGGTGGTCAAAGATGTTACACACATCACACATACGCAATACACACAAGTTGAAACAATTAATAACACTGCAGGCGTGTCTCGCTGTAACGAGCGTTCTTTCAATGATACTTCATTGTAACGGGCGATTTTAATTTAGACCAATTTGTTCACAAAACGAGCAAAATGTTCGCATAGCGAGCAGATAAAAATTGATCGAACACCGCCGTGTGGCAGCTCTCCTGCGCTGTGCCCGCGTTGTCTCATTATGTGGGGGAGGGGACGTCGTGGTGGCACTGTAATAAAAAAAAACAATTTAAAATTTTACCAGATGAGGCCCACCGATCTATGTAGCTCTTTTTCACAAGCGACCTGACCACAAATGATAACCCAATGAAGTGGCTTATCGTGTGGAAATGTATCACAGGCAAATACTCAAAGTTGACTCTAAATGTGTAAGGAAAAACCTGAGGACCCAGACAAAAATCCATGTGACCACGGGGAGAACATGCAACTCCAAATATACAGCAGGCGTCAGGGTCGGGATCGAACCCACGACCTCCTGCATACCAGACGAGGTAATTAACATCTCTTAGCCACCGAGGTTGGGGCGAGGTGTGGGTGGCGGCATTAATTAATTGGAGACTTGTGAGGACAGGAAGTCATGCTCCATCCTGCCATCCCTTAATCGTGGCGATGTTCGGAGCAACGCTGGTTCGATTCCACAGCCACAGCTAACATCAGTGGTGAGCGATATTTGAACCAGCGGTTCTGCATGGCCCCTGCTGCTCCCTCTCTCCACCCACTAAACTAAACTATTTTTTATTTTACGAGGTAAGGCCCACTGAGCTGCGTAGCTTATTTTCAGAAGCGACCTGGCTATCATGAATGATAGCCAATGAAGTACCTTATCATCGTGTCGAAATGTATAGCAGCCAAATACTCTGAACGCGTGACGTTGTTTCTAAATGCGGAAGGGAAAACCGGAGGACCTGGAGTAAAATCCACTCGACCACGGAGAGTGACACACAAACTCCAAATATACAGCAGGCATCAGGGTTGGGATTGAACCCATGACTTCCTGACATCTACCCTTCAAACAACATAACATGCCTGGCATCTGCAAGCACTGGTTCTTCACGTGTGGCAAGTGGATTACATTCGATGTTTTATTCCTTTATTTAAAAATTCTAATTTTTTTATTTCTCACGTGAAAAAAAGTTGTTCCAAGGGTGGAACATTTTCGGGCTGAAACGTAGTAGGATTTGAACAGGCGAGCGAGTCATTGGGGAAGACGACGTTCGCTTCACGAAGTTTCGCTTACCGAGAAATTTACGCGGAACGTATCTCGCTCGTTAAGCGAGACACACCTATAAAACACAACACGTACACCACACACACACACAATACACCAACATCCCTACAACGTTACACCACCCACTGCATACAACACACCGGTGTATACAATCCTTAAATAGCACACACACTACACCAAACCCTGAAACACTACGCACAACCTTCAAACACTGCACACATACTACACACATTACCCTCAAACACTACACATATACTACACTACCCACAAAAACTACACACACTGGGTGCACTTTCAGGCCACGTGAAGTATCGAAGGCCCGCGAGCAGGAGGTCACGGAACAGACCCAGCGGGTGCCACGTGTTGACTGGGATGAGCGGCAGATACACACCAGCTGTGCTCCCCACTGTGGCAACTTTCTGCGTTTTATCCGCCCGGCGCTCCGCTCGTTGTTGGGAGCGTCGTTGTTGCTGCTTCCCAGTAGCAGCGTCCTTGACTAACCTCCTCCACAGAGGCCAATCTTGACAATCTGCTGATACCGGTCATCGGCAAGTCCACTCAGCTACAACATCCTTCTGTACCGCATCATCATCCCATCTGTCCTCCAGTCCATGCCGGCCAAACAGAAGCTGCTTGGGCACGCGGTGGCTAGGCACGCGGCCGATAAGACCCAGCCAATGCACCTCCACACGTTTCCGCTCACCCTCTGCACGTGTCCGCTCACCTCCACACGTGTCCCCTCACCCTCCGCACGTGTCCACTCACCATCTGCACGTGTTCACTCACCTGTGCACACCTGTGAAGTCTCCGGCTCCCGTGTCCACCGCGGCGTCCACGGAGAGTCGAGTCCGATAGGCAGAGGAGCGCGAGGAGATGGGGAGACGAGGGCTGCGAGAGTAGAAGAGAGTAAGAGTGTGTGAGAGTCAGAGACAGAGTCAGAGAGAGTGTGTGTGCGTGAGTTATACAGTGTATGGGAGAGCCGGAGAGAGTGTGTGAAGAGTCACACAGAGAGTCAGAGTGAGTGTGTGTGCGTAAGTGTATAGAGTCAGGGAGGGTGTATGGGAGAGCCGGAGAGAGTGTGTGAAGAGTCACAGAGAGAGTCAGAGAGAGCGTGTGTGCGAGGGTTAGAGAGTGAGTGTATGTGAGAATCGGAGAAAGAGTCAGAGGGAGTAGGAGGGAGCCCGAGAGAGAGAGCTCATGTGAGAGTATAGGAGAGTGGAATGGTGCAGGAGGGGAGAACAGCATCAGCAGCGTGGCAGTCGGTGGGAGAGTGTTGTGGGGAGAGTTGCGCAGAGGGAGAGGGAGGGGAGAGTCACTGTGTGTATTTACATATCAATGCTGGCACACGATCTGTAGCCTCAGTGTTTGGGTGGCAGGGGGAGAGGAGGAGACAAGGGGGAGGGAGAAAGGGGGGGAGGGGAAGACAAGGAGAGAGAGACAGGAGGGAGGAAGGTCGGGGGGGCAGGGGGGGCAGGGGGAGGGAGGGAGACGGGGGGAAGAGAGGAGACAGGGGGGACACAGGGGGAGGGAGACAGGGGGGACACAGGGGGAGGGAGGGAGGGAGAGAGACCGGGGTGGGACAGGGGGAGGGAGGCTGGGGGTCGTGAGAGAGGGGGGTAGGGAGGAGGAAGACAAGGAGAGGGAGGAAGGCAAGGGGGAGAAAGGGGGAGGCAGGGGGGGGACAGCGAGAGATGGGGGGGGGGGGGTCAGGGGGAGGAAGCAAGAAGGGGAGATGGAGGGGGAGACGGGTAAAGAGACGGGGTGGGAGGGTTGTGGGGAGGGAGATGCTGATACACACCTGAGGAGCTTAGAAACACCGGGGAGACACGAGAGACACTGGGGGGACCCGAGGGAGACACGAGAGACACGGGGGAGACACTGGGAAGACACTGGGGAGAAATTAGACACTGGGGGACCCGGGGGAGACACGGGGGAGACACGAGCGAGACACTGAAGGGAACCGGGGGAGACACTGGGGAGAAACGAGAGACACTGGGGGACCCTCGGGAGACACTGGGGAGACACTGGGGAGACACGGGGGAGACACTGGAGAGACACTGGGGAGAAACGAGGGAGACACTGAGGAGACACGGGGGAGACACTGGGGAGACACTGGGGAGACACGGGGGAGACACTGGGGAGACACGAGGGAGACACTGAGGAGACACGGGGGAGACACTGGGGAGACACGGGGGAGACACTGAGGAGACACGGGGGAGACACTGGGGAGACACGGGGGAGACACGGGGGAGACACTGGGGAGACACTGGGGAGACACGGGGGAGACACTGGGGAGAAACGAGGGAGACACTGAGGAGACACGGGGGAGACACTGGGGAGACACTGGGGAGACACGGGGGAGACACTGGGGAGACACTGAGGAGACACTGAGGAGACACGGGGGAGACACTGGGGAGACACGGGGGAGACACGAGGGAGACACTGAGGAGACACGGGGGAGACACGGGGGAGACATGGGGAAGACACTGAGGAGACACTGAGGAGACACGGGGGAGACACTGAGGAGACACGGGGGAGACACTGAGGAGACACGGGGGAGACACGGGGGAGACACTGAGGGGGGGGGGGTAACCGGGACGCCCTTGGGGACACATCGCGAGCCACGCCTCCCTGCCCCCACCCCTACAGGACCACGTGCGGGGAGAACCCCGTGACCAAACCCGTGAGGATGTGGCACCTGGTGACGTCACCCTCCCCCGGGGGAGGCCCCGCCCAGCGCCCCGAGCATCCTTGTATCCATGGAAACCACTCTCAGCCGCCAGAGTATCTTAGCAACGCGAGGGCTCAGCGGAGTTTTCAACTCCCCCCTCTAACCATGGCTAATCCACACCCCCCGCCACCACCACCACTCATACCACACTCCACCACCACTCCAGTGACGTACAGTGAGGTCAATAGCCGGGGAGGCACTGGCTAGTGTCAGAGCCAGAATCACACACTAAGGGGGGCGTGGCCTCACTGAAGGGGGCGTGTCCTCATTGAGGGGGGCGTGTTAGACACGTTCCCCTCAGTGAGGCAGATGTGATAGCTGCCTCCCCTGGTGCTTTTTAATTGCAGTTTCATGATGAGTCCAGCGAGCCTAAATATATTTATACACGTACGTGAAATAAGTTACCTGGAGTATGAATTAGATCTGTTTCAATTAATAAATGTCCCCACAAGACCCAACCTAAAAAATCCGGGACAGTCATCTCTGCTTAACGTCCTATTGACAAATGCCCCTCACAATTCCACACTGACAGGTGTTCTGGGTAATAACCTTAGTGATCACTCCATCATTTTTGGGGTGAGATCATCAACCAGACCTAAAGCCCCCCCTAAATTGGTTGAGAAGCACTCTATGAGACACTTCAGCACTCAGGCATTTACTAATTATGTGCTTCACTCGGATACTGACAAGGTCTGTGATATTCTCATCCTGACTACGGCTTGGGAGACCTTAAGGCACACGTTTCTCCAAATTCTTAACAAACATTCTCCGTTGGTTAGATTTAAAACTAAAGGCAACCGCCCACCATGGTTTGATCCTTTGATTACAAAGCTCATGAAAACTAGAGACAAGGCTTGGGCATGTGCTCAGAAAAGTAATTTGGTCAATGACTGGCTAGAATACAGGATTTTAAGGAATAGATGCGTCAAAAAAATACGGCATGCAAAAAATGCCTACTTTTCCTCCACTCTCCTGGAATCACATGGAAATGCCAGGATTTTCTGGAAAACAATCAAATGTATCGAAAAGGCATCCAAAACAGACAATCTGCCCGTTGAGCTTAACCGAAATGGGGAATATTTTTCAGATCCCCAAAAAATAGTTGACAATTTTAACCTTCATTTTTCTGAAGCTGGTAATCTTTTTGATAATGTATTGGGAGTCACCCCTGCTAATGAAAATCCTATACCCCTGTCCAAACATTAAACGAATTGAGTTTCCAGCCAATCCACGAAAGAACTGAAACAACTGTCCTACCTCAAAGGGTCCTCCTCTACCAGAGCAGATAGTTTTCCCGTCTTTGCTCTACTAACCGTTGGTCACCTAATATACAAACCTATAGCCCATATTTTCAACCTGTCCATCAAAGAAGCATCAGTTCCTCTAGAATGGAAACATTCCTATGTCCGTCCACTTCACAAAGGGGGCCCTAAAGAAGATCCAAATAACTACCGACCTATCTCAATTTTGTCCCCGTTGATGAAATTTTTTTTTAAATTATTGACCTACCAAATTAGCAGTTTCCTGTCCACCAACAATCTACTACATCTAAAACAATCTGGGTTCCAAAAAAAATACAGCACCACATCTGCTGCATTAGACTCTGAATCATATTTACAGTAGCCTTGATAATAAGCAGTACTGTGCCTGTCTTTTTCTTGACCTGTCCAAAGCTTTTGATACAGTAGACCACAACACCCTGCTTAGTAAACTAAGTTGCCTCGGTTTTTTCGAAAACGCAATAAAATGGTTAAAAAATTACCTCTTTTCTCGCACCCAAACTTTATTCACAGATGGTTGGAGGTCAAACAGTGTTAAGATAACAAAAGGGGTTCCACAGGGTTCCATCCTCGGCCCCCTTTTGTTGTCTCTTTATGTCAATGACTTGTGCACTGACCTGGATCATTCCAAGGTAAATCTTTTTGCAGATGACACGATACTGATTACTGCTGGCCGCTCTCCGGATGACGTGATTGCTAAGCTACAGGGTGATTTCAACAAACTACAACATCAGCTGGTTGCTCCTAAACTAGTCCTGAATTCCTCCAAAACCAAGGTGCTATGCTTCTCACCAGGACTAAAGCAGGAAGTTATTTTTCCCCAATTACATTCCTTAAATAATTATCAAATAGAGCAAGTCAGGATCTATAAGTATCTTGGGGTCATCCTGGATTCAAAACTGAATTTTGAAGATCACATTGATTATATTGGTTAAAAGGCAAAAATAAAAATTGGTTTTCTGTATCGACACAATCACTGCTTCCCCCCTATGTTCCGTTTGGAATTGATAAAATCTACCATACTGCCTCTACTTGACTACTGTGACATCGTGTATAAATCAGCCCCAAGTACTGTACTGAAGAAGCTTGATTCCATCTATCACTCGGCCTTAAGATTTACATTGAACTGCCCATATAGGACTCACCACTGTGATCTCTACATTGCGTCAAACTTAACATCTCTTAATGTTCGATGGGATGTGCACCAGATCTTATTTATTCACGATGTACTTACAAAAAAAATCCGCAGACTACCTGCTGGATCTCCTCTCTGTTTCAAAGAACAAATTTGACCTCAGGTCTTCGCTCATTTACCAGCTTCACATTCCCTATTGCCGTACAAAAACTGGAGGAAGGGCTTTTGCTATTAATGCCCCCAGAGTCTGGAATGCTATTGCCAATAAACTGCAACTTAAATCGCTACCAATTAGATCTTCTCTCAAAACTGCTCTAGAGGAGTTGTACACCCCTAGCTGCCACTGCTATTCATTGGCGTAAAATAAAATAAAATGTTTCGCTCCGGATGACGCTGCAAAGTATTATCTGTATTTTGATTTAGCGTGCTGATCTTAAAGGTGCATTGAAAATTTTGATACTCCGACTGATGCTGCTGTTGTTCTGGAGTAACTCATGCAGCCAGCTATGGCTCTAGGATTTGGTGTTACATGTTATTTATGTAGTTTATTGTAAAAATTCGGTCACAGTCCCTATGATCACTGTTACGTTGCAATTATGGCTTTATTTTTTTATTTCGAATTTTTTTTTGTTTGGACATGTTTGTTTTGTTGTAGTACGGAGTTAGACTGACGGCCTTAATCTAAGTTTTCTTGTGGTTGTTGTTGTTTGACTTGCATCCCACTGGGATTTTTTGCACAGCG